CATTTTGTATCTGTGTATTCAAAGTGGCTGGGATAGATATATAGTTACATTCTGTTAATGAATAGAATGATTTGTCCTAATGGTGTTTGTAAATAGGATCACAAGTCCGCATCTTGTACAGCAATTAACCTCTAAGAAGAATATATGCAGTGTATTATTTGTTGAAAAATTAAAAAAAAACAAAAAACAAAGAATGTGTCCTTGAGGAGTTTTAATAAAATCAGACAGAGGTAGTAGATATAGCCTGGTAGAGACTTCATTTGGGTTTGGCTTGAGAATCTTGTCCTCAGAGTACAGAAGACAAGAAAAGGGAACTTTAAATTCAGTAATAGTACATACACTACATTACAACTCAAGAAACACAAGCATCTAGTTCTCTAGTAGCTTACCTCTATAGTTTGAGCACAAGTCAGGATTGTCTTTTAAAGCAGAGAAAGTCTGAACACATGTTATTGCTAAGCTTTTTCCTTCATCTTACAATTCAACTCCAGTTGCAAAATAGCATTAAAATCAGCACTTTCCTCTTCATTCCACTTTGTCTCCAGAGGCTAGGCCTGTCAAAGAAACCCAAATATGAAACCATCACAATCCTTCCATGGACTCAACTTAAATCTGTTATTTTAACAAAGAGCAAGGCAAAGCATAAGATGAGGACAAGAAACTGCCAGAAAAGGACAATTCTTGATTACTTAAATGAGTGACAATCCAGAATCCCATCAAAATAATCAGGGGTTCCATGAAACAAAAGCAAAATCTTACCTCCTTCCAAAGATCACACTGTGGTAAGATGGGGGGAAATGAACCCCCAACTCACCTAATGTCAGATGTACTGAGCTCATGTCCCCCAAATATTAAAGAATGAATTCCACAGGACAGCCCTGGTTAAAAGTAGGAAATGTTTATAAAAACAGTTTTGAGAGGTGTAGAAGGTAATGCAAAAAGAGGTTGCCACAGACCCCATGTCTTCAAGGATGTTTTAAAGAAGAAAATCATAACGTGGGTACAAGGTGGGTCAAACTATAGTCAATCAATAAGATTGCTAGTACAGTCACTTAGTTAATATTGATCTAATAGCA